ATGCTGAGAAAGCAGAAATTATGATCTGCTGTACCATTTCAGGTGTAATAGAAGTGGCAGAAGTAGAGACGGGAGTATTTGCCACGTTTGGAGAAGTGACCACAGCTTCTGTGGTAGCCTGATATGCGGTATTTTTCCTGCGGGGTGGACGAATAGAGCAATCTTTGATGATATGTCCCAGCTTCTTGCAATAACTGCATACCTTATTAGGGCAATGCTGCGCAATGTGACCGTAATTCTTGCAAGAATAACACTGTGTGGCACTCATATCTCTAGGGTGAGGCTTAGCTTGAGTGACATAAGCAACAGGAGTGTGACCTTGTTCCAAGGTAGCCTGGGTAAGTAGACGCTGCTCTTCACGAAGTAGTTCCCGAAGGCAAACTTCCAGAGACGGAACTGGATTCCTATTCATTAAAGAGGAGCGAGTGTTCTCAAACTCGGAGTGCAGTTTCATCAAGAACTGCCTGCGCTGCCGTGCTTGTAACATATCCCGAAGAGGCTCAACAGCATTTTCAGGGACGTCAGCGAGACATAAGTCGATATATTCAGTCCAAAGCTCTAAAAGACTGGAATAGTATTGCTGAACAGTTAAGGAACCTTGTTGAAAGTTAGATATATCCAACTCCAACTGAAATTGATGGGCTGCATTATCCTGATGATAAACTTGTCGTAGATAAGCCCACATGGCTTTAGCTGTGCGATGGGGGCGTAGGTTAAGAATAATATGAGGATCGAGTGACCCTAATATCCAACTGCGAATTTGAGCATCTTTCACCTCCCAGGTTTCATCCTGAGTGGCAGAATTCTGTGTGGAAGAGTCATCCACGTGAGCCCACAAATCCTTTCCTTTCAGAAAGGTTTCAAATTGAAACGCCCAAGTAACATAATTCTTGCCATCAAATCGAACACACAAGTTTTCTAATTTATCCATGATAACAAGAGAACAGAATAAATCTGAGAAGGAAATGTGTTGATCTGAGATAGAAGATGGCTGGAACTAAGTGCTGAGATGACAGAATCTGAGAGGAAACCCTAGGGTTTGTGTTTAAAACAAAAAAAAAATCTGAGACGTCGAGCAAGAACTCCAAGAACCAACCCAACTGAATTTTAGGGTTTGCTGAAAAAATGCTTATGTCTCTGATACCATGTCACTGATTTTACCAGAAATGATAAACTAAGGAACTAAGTAAAATCAGGAACTAAGAACTGGGAATGCTGGAAAGCTCGAGCTGCCCTGCTCAGCAGTTTATTTACACTTATATAGGCAACATGTGAATATATGTACAAGGAAACAAATCAGGGGATTCTTACAATTAATGCAAGATATCCCTGCACTCAATGCCAAATAAAATCTTCCTATAATTACAAAGATTCAATAAGATACAGACATATTTTTCTACTGATTCTCTGATTGACAGCTGCAAGCCAGGGTGGAGAGGAAAGAGCACGCTTTACTGATTTAGGCTCAATATGAGCCAACAGTATGGTGGGATTAAATCTAGGTTTAACAATCCCAGATTTGGATCTGGTTTGCATGGGATGAGTATTATGTAGTGGAATGGAGGGACTGGAAGAAAAGGAGGAGGACACAACTGGTGTGGTGGAGGAACTGGAATGGTGAGTGATAGTTTGATTATTGATAGGAGATGAAGAATTGTTGATAGGGTTAGAGTTGTTTGAGGAATAATTATTTTGAGAAGGAGTGGAATTAGAAGATGAGTCAGTTTGAGAAGAGGAAGACTTGTGTTATTAAATGTACAGCTGTAGCAAAGGCAGTGTCCCAGAATTTTAAAGGAATGGATGAATGAGCTAAGAGGCATAGGCCTTTTTCAACAATGGTGCGGTGTTTCCTCTCAACCACACCATTTTGATGGTGTGTGTGAGGGCAGATTAACCTGTGTGTGATACCATTTTCATTAAGGAAGGATGTAAATGATCTGAACTCACCACCCCACCACCCCAGTCAAATTGAAGTGATTTAACAGAAGCATGAAATTGAGTGGAAACATATTGGTGAAAATTCTGAAATGCTAAGAGTGCATCAGATTTCTTTTTAAGAAAATAGATCCATGTATATCTAGTGAATGCATCAATGAATGACACATAATAAGAGTAACCATCATAAGATTGGACAAGTGCAGGGCCCCACAAGTCAGTGAAAACTAGTTCAAAGGGAGTATGGTAGATAGTAGTAGAAGGATAAGAGGGAAGTCTATGTGCTTTTCCTAAGCAACATGCAGAACAGAAATCAACAACATTTTTATTTATCATAGGAACATTACACAGATTCAGTACACTTTTGAGAACCTCTAAGTGAGGATGGCCTAGCCTTAAGTGCCAAATATTACAAGAATCATGTGAATCAGATTTATTATAAGAGGAAATGAAAGAATAGGACAAAAAGAACTAGCTGGAATGACTTAGAGATGTTTTACCAGATAACTTGTGAGACCCAAGAGCTGGAAATGATTGGAATTGGTACAGACCATCTAAGCCAAGTTTGCCATAAAGTAGAATCTGTTTAGAAACCTGGGATTTAACAAAACATTCATGAGGATGAAACTCAAAAAATGCATTGTTATCTTTAGCAAACTTACTGACACTGACCAGATTTTTGGTTATTGCAGGAACATGTAAGATATTGTTAAGAGATAATGAAAGAGATGAATGATAAGGGGATGGGAAGGATGAAAAACCAACAGACTTAATTTCCAGACCTTGGTTGTTGCCCATAAAGAGCTTATCAGTAGTAGCAATAGGCTCATTGTGCTGCAGATTGAGTGGATCAGGTGTGACATGGTGAGTAGCCCCTGAATCTGGAAACCAATTCTGATTACTAGGTGGTGGTCCTAGTATTGAAGAGTTAGCACATGCCCAAGCTGCAGTTGGAACAGTAGGATTAGAGGTAGGAGTTGATGTGCAGGGGTAAGAAGTTCCAGTTGGTCCCCAAGGAAATTGTGGTGGAGCAGAAACATTGGATGAGTATCTTAGTGTGACAGGGTTATGAAAGTTAACTGGTTGGTTAGGTATACAAGTGAAATGGTGTTGAGGCTGAGGAAATTGATTCTGAGGCTGAGAAAATTGGTTCTGATGTGAGGACTTGGAAGTATTTGGGGCACAATAGGCTGGATTGTATCTGTGATAACATATGAGTGCATTGTGACCATTCTTGCCACAAACTTGATAGGTAACAGGGCTACGACCACCCGTCCGAGCACCTCTGCCTCTGTAAGAACCACCTCTACCTCTACCTCTACCTCTACCTCTGTAGGAGAAAGAGCCACCTGAGTCATCAAACTGAGCCACTTGGGCTGAAGCATCAACTGAAGCATTTTGTGGTTCATTATCAAAGTTTTGTAAGGAGTTGTCAACTCGTGCAACATTGGCAGAGAATAATGTTTGTTGAGATAAGTCACGAAGTTTCTTCAGACGCAATTCTTTTGCCAGCAAAAGAGATTCAAGATCTGATACAGTAATTGGATCCAATGTGCTTCGAGAAGATATAGAAGACACGAGCGACTCGTATTCATGAGGCAGACCTTCAAGGATAACATCAATGTGTTCCTTGGTAGATATGGATTCGCCAACCAGAATTAGGTTATCTATTATAGTCTGAATTCGAAGGAGATAATATGAAATTGAACGATCACCTTTTCCAGTGTTATATAATTCGGATTTCAGTTGACAAGCCCTAGCAACGACATTCGAACGAAAGAATTCCTGAATTTCATTCCACAACTGGTGTGAATGCTTGCATGCTTGCAATGAATGACACGAGCGTGAAGAGAATCAGAAAGCGACGCTAGTAGCCAAGAAAACAGCATCTGATCTTGTTGCTCCCAGGTGTTGTAAGCTTCGTTGATGATTTTTGATCCATCATCGGCAACAGCAAACCGTTCTGGTATTTTAGGTTTTTCGATGAATTGAAGAAGCTTGTGTGCTCGTATCACAGATTGAACATGATGCCTCCAGAGCAGGAAGTTATTCGAATCGAGTTTGATTGGTAGCGGATGATGAAAGTTTACTGGAGAAGTTTGAGAGGTTTGAGAGGAAGATGAAGTTTCGGATGTAGAGATCGTCATGGTTGGAACGAGCTAAGCTCTGATACCATAATAGAATATAGAGACTAGAAGAAGATCAGAATGAATTCATCTTATTGATAATGTGTGAGATTACAAGTATTTATACAATGCAGTAGTTTAACAGAAACCACAAGCCGTTCTAACTAACTATAACAGTAATGATAGTCTATTTAATACTGCTAACATGATCTAGAAGATAAAATTATTCTCTCCTTCTCAAATTAAGATTCTCAGACAATTTATCCCAAATGAGATTATTAGACACCACTATTCATATCATCTGGTAAATTTGTCTCTATTTTAATACTCCCTCCGTCCTGCTATGATTGTCCCATTTTACCATTTCGGTCCGTCCCACTAAGATTGTCTCATACCTTATTTGGTAAAGTTTACGTGGTTCTAAATCATTCCTACTTTATTCTTACTTTATCAATTCAATATCAACCACATAAACCTACTTTTATTAATAACCGTGCTATCTTCTATTGTCCCAAACTTAGGGGGACGGAGGTAGTATCTCATTACATATTACATACATGTATGTTCGCACACACACACAAATATGTGTGTGTGTTTTTTTAAATATGTAAATGTTAATTATTAATACTGATTTAAGTATTACGTAGTATTAGGGAAGAGTGGGAACACGAATGATTTAAACTATGAGCAAGACTTCAAACGGATCATGAATTCCAATTTTTTAAATTTTTATATTTATAAAGCATTTTGCAGGATTAATAAAAAAATTTGAATTGATATTCATCATGTGATAAGTCAAAATGATAGTTTCAATCATTCACAACTGCATGTCTCATTTATCATCTCGGAGACCTCATACTGATTAAAAGGCTTAGCTTTCCAGGTCCGCATGAATAAGACTCCAACGCGATAATAATCCTGCTCAAAGCATTACATTACCTTCATGTATGCCTTAACATAGGCAAGTGAATCTGGGACTGACCACTTCTTGTAGTACCCCAGAGCAATCTCCATGTGATACAGCTTTGGTCCCAGTGATAAGTCCGCAGCAGACACTAATTTCCCATTGATGAATGGGCCCTTCAAAGAAATAAGACAATAAATTAAAATGACTTCCCTGCGAATATGTATCATTGTATCATGTATCAATGTAAAAGCAAATGTAGTTAATTTTTCAAAAAAAGACTAGTTATTACGTAGTACTTATATTAAAGTGTCTTTTTGAAAATAGACTACAATGCTGCGAGTTTATCCAACTCCATGTATGGAATTCAAATTCAATGGGAAAACAATAGGAGAACACTCAAGTCTTAACCCAGAAAGAGTTTCAGAACGTCTCCTCCTGCTTGTACAAATTGGACTTCAAGATTAGTAATTCAATCAAGCATTTCAACCTAAATCATGTATCTTTCTAAAGTTCATTATGGTATCAGAGCCACACGAACTCTAACCAGACGTCTCCCTTCTCCTATGGCCGCGGAGATCCTCTTCAGCAGGGGGACCTCAGAAATCCCTCTGCCGGGCAGTCTGCCATTATTCTTGAGCAGTCTGCCATTCTTTATGGAATTCCTTCTACCAGAGTCAACAACCCCCTCACCCCAGATGGTCTAATCATGCTCAACCCCAACAACTTCCAAGAAAAACTAGAAGGGACGAATTACCTAATATAGTGTGACCATGTGCTTGACCTTTTGGTTGGCTCTCATCTCGACCAGTACATCAATGATGATGCTGTTCCGCCACCTGACATGCTCCTGTATCCTCCCTCAGCTTGGCGTGCAAACCTTTGGTCGGCTCCGCACGCACCTCCGCAGCAATCTGGAAAACCCTCGAGCGACTATATGGTACCAGATCAGCTTCCCAGATTTGGAGCCTCAAAGACAGGTTTCGCCATAGTCAACAAGGTCCTCAAGGGGTGGGAAAATACCTCCATCATCTTAGCAATCTCGATGATGAACTGACTCTGGCTGGCCGGCCAGTAGACGATGAAGACTTCATCCTCCAAGTTTTGGAGAGGCTTCGCCCAGAATTTGCATAGATTGAGAACTCGAGTCTCACTTCTGGAGATAACCAATTTGAATATATCTATGGATTGCTTGTCGGCTTTGAGGATAAACTACGATGGAAAGAATCTTTGAACTCCTGCGGTCCTGCCGTTGTTATAGCGAATTCCGTCTCTGTGAGTACTGTCGATTCTATTGCTCTTGCGGTTCACAGGGAATCGACAGGTATCAACACCAAACTCAGCATCCATATTGGGCCTTGGTCCAACAACTTACTTCCAAAATCAGTCTCATCGCGCCAATGATCCAGCCCGAAACCAGAATAGCAATCAGTTCCGGAACCCACGACCCAATACTCCTTATAACCTGACTCGATGTGGAAATACTAATCCTAGAAGCAACATTAGCACGGCTGCACGAGGGCCCGAAACAACCCGAGAAATGGAAATCAAAATTTCAAACCTATATCATATGTCAGACTTGTGGCAAACCGAATCACCTTGTTCTCAATTGTTGGCATTGGTTTGAACAACAAGCTTACCCTCCCCAAGTCAATATAGCCACAACAATCACGCCGCTAATAACCTCAACAAATTAACTTTAGCGTCAAATTATACTGGCACAGATTCTCTCATTATTGGTAACGGTAAAGGTCTTGCAATAGAACAAGTTGGGAATATGAGTCTTCACTCTCTCTCTGCCTAATACTCTTTATGTCCCTTCCGTTCATACTAATTTGATTTGTGTAGCCAATTTACGTCGTGATAATGATATACTAATTGAATTTTACCCTTATTTTTGTCTTGTCATCATTCATCATTCATTCATCATCATTACCTCAGTGCCACAAAGGCTCTCACCTACAGTGGGGTAAGGGGGGTCGGATGTACGCAGCCTTACCCCTGTACTAAAGCACATGGAGGCTGTTTCTGGATGGCTCATGATGAAAATCGCGTCGAAAATTGCATGAACTGACTGCTGCTTCATAACAAAGAAGCGCAGACAGTTTAGAGAGTCATTTTGCTTTATTTTTGTCTTGTCAATGACCAGAAAATGGGAGCAATTTTGTTATGGGGTATGAATAATGGCGACGTCTACAGTCTACCTGATGTACCGACACGACCAACCCCATTTGTTAATCTTACTAAGAAATTTTCTCTTAATGATTTATGATTGGCATTGTCATTTAGGTCACCCTGCCCTTCCTATCACCAAAAAAAATCTATCTTCACTGGGTATTTCATTTCAGGATGTCACCAAGGATATTTCTTTATGCAACTCGCTAGTAATAAAAGTCATAAATTGCCATTTGCTGAATCTTCACTTACAATTTCTCATCCTCTTGACTTAATTTATACTGATACTTGGGGTCCATCTCGTATTACATAACAAATATCATGCGGGATGGTATACAGATACACACATTGATAAGAGATTAATGTCTTACATTTTCTTTAAGGTAATCATCATAGGCAGTAAGCTCTTCCAGTAATGTGTGTTCCGATCCATCGCCAGTGTCGTTGCTTTTAAGGAAACCAATAAACTTGGGGAAAATATATGATCCGCTACAAACAAAAATTAAACAAGTAAAACATATCACTGTCCAATAACTGTATGCTAAGGTAAAATTGTAATTTTCAAAGTAACGACTTATTTTATATAAATTCACATCAATATCCTTATTAACTACTCCCTCCGTCTCATTCTAAGGTTCTCACTTTCCTTTTTGGGACATCCCATTTAAAGATTCTCAGTTCTATTTTAGAAAACAATTAATATTCTTAATAAAAATTTAGTCATCATGTATTAAAAATAATACATCTATAACATCACAGTTATCATCAATGACCTCATTATATTATATAACAATCAAAATTATTTCTAAAAATATACTCAAATTACCATATTTAATTATTGTCGAAATAAAAGTTCTATTTTACGATGGGAACCTTTGAACGGGATGAAGAAAGTACTTAGTATTAAGAGTAGCCGGGAAAAAGCAGATAAAAGAGACAGCAACTTAGTCCTTCTAAGATGTTTTTTACTTCATTTATAAATGGCAGTTATTTGTTAAAAAGTGTCTTTCGCTAATGGACAGTTATTTAAGAACAGGGGAGTATGTTGTTATAGTTAGGAACTATGTAGCACCGATACGGGTACACGGAAATGAAAAGACGGGTACGCGGAAATGAAAAGACGGGTACGCGGAAATGAAAAGACGGGTACGAGGATACAACACACACAAAAACTAGGATACGGAGGCATATTTATAAATATTACGTAGTAAAAGTTATGGGATTTATTTAAATATTAAAAATTATGGGGGTGTTTTTATAAATATTAAAAATTACGAGTACAATTTTATTTTGAAAATATATACACATTATTCTCTAACCTCTGTCCATTCATGGCATTGAAACATTTCACATTATCAAGGTAGTTAGAAATAAATTCATTCTTTATCTCATATACAATAGTGCATTTCGAAATATAAATATAGTCAATAAGTCATTAATTTAAAATGAGTAACGAGTCAAGTAACCACAATTTTAAAATTAAAAGTTCAAGTACGCAGAGTTTTTGGGTAATGGAGATAGAAAACAATACCCGAATAAAAAACTAAAAATTGTAGTACATATTTCCCCTAGAGCTACTCATTTCCACGAATAAAATCGTTTTCCAAAAAGACAGTCTCCAATTTTGGTTCATTCATGGAAAAGTTGGCGAACTCAAACTCATATATCCTCCATGCTCCAAAGTCATCTCCACCAACATCCCACATTTTACTTGCCATCCATATAGCTGGTTGTGTAATTTATTTTTAATTTTTCATTTTAAAAGAATTTTATTATGTATGTTTTGGTTATTTTTCATATAAAAAAGTCGATATGTATCCGTCAAGATACAGGTATCCGAAATTTTAAAATAATTACCAAAAAGTTAGAAACTTTTGATAAATTACAGATACGGCATGGGAACGTATGGTAAGGGTTTCTAATACGGGAACATTTACTATACGCGCCGATATGATACCATAGTGAAGTATCCGTGCTTCATAGGTTAAGAATAATATTAGAAACGCATAATTGAAATCTAGATGGAACCTGCTATTATAGCTGGGAATGCATTTTCCATATTAGCAAGATTGCATATAAGAGACATAGTGCCGTTTGGTAAGAGATTTGACTAAAATGGTTGAATTTTCTGAACTACAAAGTGTTTTGTGACATCCATTACAACAAATAAATAAGCCAAAAGCCAAGTGAACTTATAACTCTGCTTATTTTGATAATAAGCAGGAGATGAGTGTGTAGCTTTAAGAAAATGTTTTTTTTTCTTAAAAATGTTAACTGTAGTGTGCTCAAATATGTGCTTGTGCTTAACATTAAGCACCTTAAAGCTAAAAATCTGTAAGAGAAGAAGAGTGATTAAAACTGTATTTCACTTTTAACATAACATTTGCCTAAAACATACACCATAAAGTACTTCCCAATACTGCAACTTATACTTCTATTTTCAAACACTATGTTAGGAACTGGCAATTTCACAGTAAAATTCACGAAACACGATGAATAAGATGAATGGCGTATGAACTGAAAATATCGTATACAGAAGCGAGAGAGAAGAAACAGATTTTCCAAGTCGTTTCCGACTCCCAGTCCCAGTCCAATCCCAATTTCTGCCTACCTTTATTACTCTACTCCCACTTCTATTTATAGTAAATTCCCTTTTGGGCTGGCCCAAGCCAACTAGTACCTAGCCCAAACCCTTATTTATACAATAACACACTCCTGAGTATAATACTACTATTATTATTATTCATATTGGCGGTCCATGTCCCTATCATATCTCCCCCCTTGAACAACCACCTTGTCCTCAAGGTGGGTGATAAGAGACAGCCTTGATCTTCCACTTCATCTTCATCCTAGCACCCCTTCCTTCCCAGTACATTGCTGAATTCTGTACCTTCAGCTTTGGTACTTGACTCTTCATTTTCAAGTTCTTCTCAGTCAGAAAGAGCAAAAATAAAGGCAGGGTGGCATATTGCACCCTGGTGTTGTAAAATTCTCCCCATGTCTGTAACTCCTGATGATGTCTTTGCTCTTGTTCCCACATCTTTTCAAAAGAATTGACCTCAGCTTGATCAAGACCATGAATCCAATCATACTTGAAACTTTTCAGTAAGCATTTGTCTCTAATATTCCCAGCAACAAACATGATCCCTTCACCATCTATGGAAGCCAGGGCACAACATGCTGTCTCATAGAGAGCAACAGCAACCTGCTTACCAAGTTCTTCCTTATAATTCTCAACTGTTTGCTCGGTCAACCTATTCACCCTTACCACAGCTTTATTCATGAAGTCCATGCCTACCGGGATTGGGTTCCACTGGTGTTCAATAGTGCCCTTATTATCAGCAATTTCAGTGAGCCTTTCCTTCATCCCTGGGTTGGCTGTTTCCTTTTCCATCTTAGATTCAATCCTTGCAGAATTGAACAGGCAGAATCCTTCTCCACTTGCTTGAATCTTTTGAGTGATAGAATTGAAAGGAACTTGGTGTCTGCTGCTATAGGCATCTCCTTGAAGCTTCCTGACTACTCTCTTTTCCTTCCATGTAATGGTGAGCTGGTTGAAATTAAATTCAACATTTCCCAAGCTTGCTAACCATTCCAGACCCAAAACCATCTCATTTTCCCCCAATTCTAAGACATAAAAGTCTTGAGTGATGGTAGATTGTGGTATGTTAAGACACACAGCTTCACATTTCCCATTGTTTCTGATTATGTCTCCATTTCCTATCGTAACCTCAAATTCTGGGATCTGTAAGGTAGGTAGGTTTGCTGCTTGAACTATCTTAGGAGATATGAAATTGTGGGTAGCCCCACAATCAATTAATATGACTATTTCCTTGCTTCCCATTTGGCCCTGAATTTCTCCTCTCAACTTGAAAGTCCTGGGAGTCGTCAATCCTTCTTTACACAGTACTGACAGTTGCATTTTTGAGATATCATTGTCCTCCATCATAGATACAGGTTCTGGATAGTTGTCCCTTTGCTCTTCCTCCTCCTCCGAGTCATCTAACATGATAATTTGGAAGTGTTTCATCTGGCAGATATGGTCTTTTCCCCATTTCTCCCCACATTTGAAGCAAAGACCTTTTCTACTCAACTCCTTCAGCTGAGACTGTGTCAACCTCTGTGTTCCCCTTATCCCTGCACCTTTATTTCCTATCTCATTGCTTTTCTCCCAGTTAGATTTCTCAGATCCAGACTGATTGGTGAGGCTATTCTTCCACTGATTCTCATTCAACCATCTTTGAGGTTGGGCTGTAGCAGTCCCCTTTGTTCCCCTTCTATCATCTTCCCTGTACCTGCTGGAACTGAGGATACTATTACTCTCTTCTATCCTCAAGGCCTTATTCATGACCTCTGTCAAAGTTCTTACAGGATTCTTCTTCAATTCAGCCTTAACCTCTGGCTTCAATCCCTTCATAAAAATCCCCTTGAGCATTTGCACATCAGTATTTTTTAATGGTGCTGACACCAATTCAAATTCATCTCTATACTCCATAACACTTCCAGTTTGCTTAAGATTTAATAATGGACCATATGGATCCTGATCCAATCCTGGTTCAAATCTCTGCAACAAGGCCCCCTTAAACAGATCCCAAGTTCTCACATTCGAATGTTCCTCCCACCAATGATACCAGTTTAAAGCCCTTCCCTCCATGGCCAGAGTTACTAGATCAACTTTCTCCTCATCATCAATTTGGTTCAATTTAAAAAAACGTTCCACCTTAATAGTCCATCCATACGCATCATTTCCATTGAAAAGGGGCAAGTCAACTTTCCTTCCAGACTTCTCCATCCAACTACGATGATTATCGATAGGCCTAGAAGAAGTAGATCGATGACTACCTGAGACTGATCGAGAGTCACTGCTCCCCTGCCTGGCACTCGTTTTGGAGTTCGTTGATCGTCCGCGGGAATGGTGGCGATGTTTTCTTCTCAACAGCTCGCGAATGTCCTCGAGGTCACGTTTGGCTTCCTCGCTCCTCATCCTGGCTTCCTCGCGAGCCTCCTCACTCCTTATTCTGGCCTCTTCGCGGTGCCTTGCCAACTCGCGCTCAATCTCTGCAGATTGTCGGGCCAATTCTCGCTCCAAGTTTTCCAATCGTTCATTCATCTTTCTTCTCGTAGCAACCATAAACAGGTACCCCGATCGTCAGCTCTGATACCAATGTTAGGAACTGGCAATTTCACAGTAAAATTCACGAAACACGATGAATAAGATGAATGGCGTATGAACTGAAAATATCGTATACAGAAGCGAGAGAGAAGAAACAGATTTTCCAAGTCGTTTCCGACTCCCAGTCCCAGTCCAATCCCAATTTCTGCCTACCTTTATTACTCTACTCCCACTTCTATTTATAGTAAATTCCCTTTTGGGCTGGCCCAAGCCAACTAGTACCTAGCCCAAACCCTTATTTATACAATAACACACTCCTGAGTATAATACTACTATTATTATTATTCATATTGGCGGTCCATGTCCCTATCACACTACCAACTTTACTGTTAAAGATTTTCTTTATACTCTCCAGTCTCCAAATAAATCACTTTGATAAGCACACGAAAACGCAAACACCGCCTCAGAATATATGGCTACTAAACAGCGCCCTAGAGTTATCATACAGAAGAGTCATGAATAGCTAACTTCTAGAGATTTTTTAAGGCTGGGTGGCTTAATTAAATGGTCATATGAGATCAGGATGATTAATGGTGTCAAACCATAGATGATTCAAGAAACTGCAATTGTTAAGATTAGACCAGTTTGATAGAAAACATACACAGAAGCCCTCTCTGGGGGTGTTTTTAGTGATGGATTGGGGAACTTCTCTTCAAGGGCCTGGGTGATAACATCTGAATCTGGAATCCAGTTCTCATCAATCTTAACCACAGGAACTTTACCTTCTGGGCTTACATCTAAGAACCTATAATAAAAAGTTTAAAAAAATCATTCCAAAACATTTCCGGTCACCAAGGAAGAAGAGTATGTAATATGGATTATCATCGCACATAAAAAAGTAATCAGCATTTAGGTTACCACTCTGGTTTATTCCTTAAGTCAACCAACTTCAGATCGTATGGCAGATGCTTTTCCTCCAGAGTCAACAAAACTCTTTGCGTAAAAGGACCTGGACGGCCGTTTAAAAGGAGTTTATCGGTAACTACTTCCTTAGAAATCTTTATTAATTCTTGCATAATTCCTGATTTCCGTTTAGAATATCCAGTCATTAAGTCCTGCAGCTTGTGAATCAGCTAATTAAGTCGTGAAATTAGGCGCTATTAAGTTAAGGGGTCGATTAATTAGGATAAATACACTACTGGCAAATCTAAAGCTAAGAACTTGATCTCCGAAAATCAGACAAGATATAGAAAAAATACTTGACATTAGCACAGAGCAGGTCAGTATATCAATTGAAATATCCAAATATGCGCGTAAAGTAAGAAATGCGAGAAAAAAGCGGAATACTTACAATCTCCAAGCTTGTTGGGAACGGTAAAGGATGCCTTAGCGCAGACTTGAACAGGATCCGTTGCTCCAGACATTGCATTGACAGCGAATCCCCTCCTGAAACGGGTCAGGCGGACGGAGAAGACATTACCAGTTCGAGGTAAACGACGAAGGCAGGCGAGTTGTTTAATCGAGGCGGGAAGTGCCATCGCCGTCGGTGTTATTTTCAAGGTAGACATTGGGTGGTGCGGAATAGAGCCGGCAAATGTCTGGAGTCGATAAGAGCTTTCAGGAGGCTCAGCTCCTTGTCTTTTGTTGTTGCTATCTTCCGCCAGTGGATAATTTGGGTTGGTTTTGGTAGAAATTTTTTTATGATGGAGTTTACTAACTAATACGGAGTATTAAATTTTACCTAAGAATTCAATCGGAAAGACATTCAAATAAATTTTTAAAGATAACTGCGCAGTTATCTTCAAACATTCATTTTAATGTCTTCCCAATTGAAGTTTTAGCCGAAATCATATCTTATATTTCTTTTTCTTCTTTTTTTCTTTTATAAAAACTTATTAAATTATATCTATAATTACTCTTATTAATTTCAATATGCGAGTTTAATGTAATGTGATACTTTTACAAATGAGCATAACATCAGTACCAAATCAGCATACATAACTTACAAAGTACACATTGATATGAAAATCATAAGATTTGTTATTTGAGCATCACAACATTTTAATTGTCCATCAAACTTTCGTTATTGAGATGAAAATAACAGATTCTGGTGAATGAGTATTAATGAACTTTTAATGAGTATCAGACATATTATGTTGAGTATTAGGAGTCTAATATTCAGAATCGTGATCTCTGCTTCATAACTTCTAATTCACTTTCTTTTTGTTATTTTTTCTTTTATAAAACCCTATTAAATTATATTTATAATCAACTCTTATGAATTTCAAAATGTGAATCCAATGTAAAATAGTACTTTAAGAAAATGCATTGATATGACATATAAAGAATGTGTAACACCGTCCCCAAGTATATTTACTTTTAAGTGAATAATGCATTGAACCTTATGAAATGGTTAATGAATTTACGAAGTTGTAATTTTTTATTATTTCTTTCGAGTGAATAGTAAATTGCATGTGGGACCCACACTGGAAGCGGGGCCACCCAATATTCCCGAGACCATATATTTTATTCATCTTGGTCTAGATAATATTTATATAGTGGTAGATACTTTATTTGGGCCATAGAAAGGCCTAGGGTTGACCGGTTGATCAAACAAGACCCAATTACCAGTATTGGTAATTTATCAGATATCAGTCCGAAATGAATTTCGGAGACTTCTAAATTAAAGTTGTGGAATGTATATTCGTTCTAAAGGCTCATTGTGATTGAGAACATGTAATATATTTTATTTGACCCGATAAAATAAAATATAAATAAAATAGTCCGAAAATACAACTTTCGGGACCGATTGTACACATTGGGACACAAAGGGATGACCTCCCACATGAGTGGGGGGCACCCCACGTTTTTGTCAGCTGAACTTGACAAATTGGGGGCTATTTTGACAAAGGGAAGAGAGGAGGAGATGTATTTGGCATCTAAGTACCGAGGAGGACCTCTCACCCTCTCTTATTTGTCATTTGAGACAAAAGCAAACATCCTCTCTCACCCCTATTACTATAGCTCGGCCAGAACACCCAAATCAAGGAGAGAAGCTCTAAAAAATATCATCACCATTGTTGAGAACAAGCTAAGCAAGAAGGAAGCTCAAAGGAAGAGTTTAAGTTGCTAAAATGTAGAAAACTTGAGAAAATTAAGGTAATGGCCTCATTAACATTTTCTTCTCTTTTTCTTAAATATCTTATTATTTTAGAATCGTATGAAGAATTCTAGGATTGTTCTACATGGTTAGACGTGTAGAATGAAGGGTTGGAAGGTGGTTCTAAGTTCAAGAACGGACTTAGAAGCCAAAATGACTGGTTCGCCGGAAAATAACCTTTTAGAGGTTATTTGTGTTGATTTAGGTTTTGTGATGTTAAAAACTTGTTAGAAACTTGTCTAAGATATCACTAGAGCTTTCAGGGAGTTGAAAGAGTCGCCGGAGTTGGACAAAGTTCGCCGGAGTTTCGCCGGAGTTCAACTGAGAAGTGTAGAACGCGCTAAAGCTCATTTAAGGTGAGTGGATGACTTAATGTCTTATAACTTTTGGTTTAATTGTGATATTACCTAAGTAAATGTTATATTTGTTCATGATGATGTTTAAAAGATATTTGAACATGTGATTAGCCAAAATGGTTAGGCTTATATGAAAAGAATAATTTTAATATGCATGAAATATGATATGAAAATTTCTATGAAAATATATGCTATGCTTGAAGGATAAAGAAAGCATGAAATGAATGTTATGAAATTAATACACATAGTGACTAAGTTTGATATGAATAAGAATTGAAATGGCGGTCAACGAAACTTTGACCAGTTGTCCACGGGGTAACTGATAAGGCTTGATATCATTTACCCACAAATTAATATAAATGCATGGCTTTGCATGAATTATTTTGTATAGGATTATTGAATTGATTTAGCCATAGATAAATGATTATGATATAGACCCTGTCTAGTTTTGATATGTGGTAGATCATAGGAATGGAAATGGTGGAGAACCCAAAAACTAAGGAGTCCTCAAAACTCCGGAATATAAATGGTGGAGGACCCAAGGACTAAAGAGTCTTCAAAACTCGGAAATATAAATGGTGGAGAACCCTTAGGGACTAATTAAAGAGTCCTCAAAACTCGGAATATAAATGGTGGAGAACCCTTAGGGAGTAAAGAATCCTCAAAACTCGGAAAGTGAATTGGTTGAGTACCAAAGGACTAAATGATCCTCAAAACTCATAGATTGTGATTTATGAATTATGGACAAGGAGGAGTCATATACACTCATAGGTATATGGGTGGGTTGAGATTTTAAGTTAAGGACATTGACTATTACTATTTTTCCCAAATTAAACGACGACCTATGGGTCGGGTATTTCCAAGTGTATATATTTACTAATGCGTATTTAATACTTTGGTGGGAAGAATTATATGTGTAAGTATCACCCTATGTTTTGGGTCTTATACTTGAAACGCTAGTTATCCTACATTTAGTCTGTTATTCATTCGGCACTTGTACTGACCCCTTCGCCCCCCCCCCCCCCCCCACCATTTTTCAGGTTGAAGCAAGGGCTTGCTACCTGCACCTTTCTAAGGGTGGTATCAACTCAAGGAAGACATGGTTCGTGCTTCCTTATTTTCTTTCGTACTACCAAACATTTGCTCAGGGATAATTTACTTATTATAAACTACTTTTGGGCTTGCATGCTCATGTTGTTGGCCGGATGTGGTTTATTATTTACCGTTGAATATTTCCGTTATTCATTGGTTTAAATGTGATGTTGTTATGTATGTTTACTGCTGAGTATGGATGGATTGTGTTCTCGAACGCCTTGTATGATTGAGTGAGGTTGACTTGCGAGTGACGTCACTTGATCATACGGCGGTTTTACACGTGCTTAGATGCGGTCTGGGGCATGACAGAATGAGCATAAGATCAGTACCAGATGAGCATACGTAAGGCTTTTGATCGGCTAATGGTATTAATATCCCTGGTAAACATGTTAGTGATACCATATTAAATTCCTCTCCTCGACTTCTCCATTTAAAAACGGTCTATCATCATATCATGTTCCCAATATGAATATAATTTAATTTTTATTCAAAATTGTGAGCCGATAACAACTGTTTTGTGAATTTTGATAAAAATTGCATTTTTCGAAAGGACAAAATCACAGGGAGGTGCTTCTGCAAACTTCCAGTAATTGTGGAGTCTCTCCCATTACCCTTACTCAACTTCTCCCTCTAGCATTAATTGCACATGTCAATTCGCTTCCATTTGACATCGTTGTCTTGGACACCATGGGAAGCACATTTCATCTAGTTTAAAAATCTCGTGTTATTGTTAGTCATTTTCATTTTTTCATGATTGTATTTCTTGTTGTTTGAGTAAATCTCAATGATTACCTTTTCAAGAAGTTTTTCATCATTCTACTGAGCCATTATTTTTAATTGGGATAAGTGTCAGTTTGGTCCTCGAAGTTGCAAAAAAGGAGTCAAATAAGTCCTTATATAGAAGATTCTGTCCGGAAGTGTCATTTGAGGTGGCTCCCGGCGGAATTTTTTGATGAAATTTTTTGAGCATTTTATTCATTAAGTCTAGTTTACTCATCAAATTTCAGATAAAAATTCAACCGGGAAGACATTGAAATGAATTCTTGAAGATAATTGTGCCGTTAAAAGCGTAGTTATCTTCAAGAATTCATTTGAATGTCTTCCCGATTGAATGTTTAGCTGAAATTTGGTATGAGTAAACTAGACTTAATGAATAAGATGCTCAAAAAAATTATCAAAAAATTCCACCGAGAGCCACCTCAAATGGCACGTCCGGACATAATCTTCTATATAAGGACTTATTTGACACCTTTTTTACAAGTTCGAGTACCAAACTGACCCTTTACTCATTTTTAATTCATTCTGATGTCTCACAAACTCATATTCTTTCTAGTCCCGGTATTAAATATTATTTGTGTTTTATCGATGATTTTTCTCGATTTACTTGGTTATATCCTCTGTGTCGCAAAAGTTAAGAGATAGTTTAGAATTGTGTTTGTTTATGTGTGTAATTTTAACTAGTTTTATTTGTTGTTGTTTGGGAAATTACACACTTTTGGTGTAATACTTTATTTTTCCTATTTTGTTTGTAATTTGTTTAGATTAGGTTTATTCTGAGTTTTAACTAGGTAAAGAACATCAAGAGGGTCCTTAGAAAGGTCAAGAAAAGTACAAGGGAACAAGATAAAGTGAAAATTTGGAAAAATAGTCATTTACCCCGGTCGGGTAAAGCATTTACCCGATCGGGTATTGACTTGATTCGAAAATCAAATCTGATTTGGAGGCAATTTAACGTGCAGGCAAAGATTTGGCAAAGATTTGTTTTTTACCTGATCGGGTAAATCATTTCCCCGGTCGGGTATAATGTGACAGATGAAGGTTCCAGGCACTTACTCAAGAAACCCGATCGGGTATCGCAAAAACCCGGTTGGGTAAATGGCCCTGGCAGCTCCAAACACCTATAAATACACCCCTTCTCCTTCCCATTTATTCATTCCTTCTTCCATACTCTTAAGCTCAGTTTTGAATAGCATTTCTTTATATTATTCTAGCATGTTTAGTCTCCAAATGAGGAGCTAAACTTCCATTTCTTGGTGTTGCTCTTGAAACTTGTTGATTATTAAAGTTGTGAGTTA